CACAGAACTCAGACAATACTTACCAATATGAGAGGTCATTAGGGAACTTAAAAGCTTATCACAAGTCAGAACCAATAAACAGGGTCCACAGCAACACCTCTCCTCAGCCCATCAGCCACAAGGCCCCTTGGCCTCTGCCTTCCTGGCCTGTCTGTTGCTCTGTCTCCCAGTCCCATAATCTTGGAACTCCACTGTCGTTTGTTCCATAGTCTCCATGCCAGTCGCTGGTGCCTCGAGCCTCAGGCTTCTACACTTCAGAGGCTGGACCGTGCTCTTTGCATAGATCTGGGTTTTCTCTCTCTGCTATGCTTCAAAGAGGGCCCCTCCTCATATACAGGGGGGTGGGAATGAAAACTGACCAAGGCCTCCATTAGGGTTACACAGACACTATTTGTGTAATCCCACCCAATAGTTTGGTGGGCACTACAAAGACTTGAGTAGAAGAACCATAGTAAGAAATTTGACTCCACCACACATTGAAGATAGTTTCGAAGTAACTTTAGGAAAACTTTAATGCTCAAAGAATATTAGAAAACCTGATTTCTCTCCTAGGTTAACTATAACCTCCATTTTGCACTGAAATACCCAGCTTAAATTAGCACAGCCAGAAATGGTGGGAGGGAATAGTGACCACAGGTCACCTGACTGGTTTCTCTTCACGTTGCAGAGTGGCTGCGCTAGAACCTGGGAGAATGGTGGAATATGAAGTACCACAGACACTGACTCAAGGAAGATTTTTCTTTTAGAAATGAAAACAGAAGCTGGAATAAGACAAGACTCAGAAACAAAATAATAAGTCTAGCTATGTGTTGGTTACATAGGATAAAATGATAGTGTATAAAAATAATAAGTATGGGGTATAAAGGCCCAAGAGTAGATCCCTGGCTATGTGTTGGTACAAACGCTTCTATGTGTCATAGCTTCTAATCATTCTAGGCTGCTCCCTACCATTTATCTTTCATTCATGTCATGCAAAATGCTTACTTTCATCACATTGCCTAAAGTGCTAAGAACCATTTATATTCTTTAAATCACTGACTTTAGTCAGGCATCACCTCCTCCACAAAGCCTCTCCCTCCCTGCAGCCCCATCTGATTTAGATGTTCCCTCTTCTGCGCTCTCATTGACCCCATGTACATACTTCTATTTTAATTTTTTCTATTTTATCTATTTTAATTCTCTTACTTTGCTAGCTCTGTCATTAGATCCTTGAGGAGTCCATCTTCAAGGATCATCTTTGCATATTACATACCTGGCAGAGAGTCTTTCATATGCATTATGGATACCCCATCAATTTTTGTTGAATGAGCAACTATTTTATTTTATTTTAAATAACTGCTTATATGCACTTTCCTCCTGTACAATTGAGAAATCACAAAATAACATTTCAAATCATTTGCCTGCCATTTTGAAAGAATAATTTTATAATAACTAATCTTGATAATCTACTTTATTATAAAATGGGTTAAGTTGACTATTTGCCTTTGAGTAAGAAAACAGTATGTCACGATGTCTTAAGCAGATCTCCTTAAAGAGATTTTGTACTTTAGGGATACAGAAGAAAGATGTTAAACCATTAACTCTGTAGACATAGTGAATGTAAGTAAAGCTTCAAATGTATTATTAGTTTAATCTGTAAGAAATATCCACTATTGTTGGTCTAAAAGTGGTTCAATAGCAGCAGCTTCATATGACCCTGAATATGGCTCATATATCTTTAAAACATAGTATTAAGGAAATTTAATATTATATTTTAATATGTTTACAAATAATAAACAGTTCTGCAAATATAGAGGGCATTTCTGTTAGGAAAAATCATTAAGAAAAGTAGAATAAGAAAGCAATATAGATCCAGGCCTGGATTTTGAGCTTGCACTAAATCCTAGATCCAATTTATGAGCAATTAGCTCTTGCATCATGGCCCTGCTCGATACTTGCACTCAGGAAGGGAACACAGAAGATAAGAGGGAACACAGAGGTAAGAGTGCTATAGCAAAATATGGTGAAGAAATTAGATGGTGCCCAGCTATCAGACAAAATAGCATCTGGGGTCTTAAAGGTTTGTTTCCAAACAGGCAGCCATCTGAGATGCCAACTACGTCCACATAGAAAAAGCACACCCAAATCAGTCACTGGATTGCAAATCATATAATCTTAAATCAAAGGAGGGAATAGTATCAGAGCCTAAATTGTGAGAATCTGGTTGACAGAAGGCAATGGATGACAGTGGGAGCCTGTGTTAGACAGGGTTCTCTAGAGAGATAAAACCAGATTGCTGATAATTTTATATATATATTTATATAGATCTATATAACACAAAAAATGAACTGTTAAATTATATAGATAGATAACACAAGTAATGAACTGTTAAATTATAAACAGATAGATATATAATAAAAGAAATGAACAGTTAAATTATAAAGCAGAACAAATGGCTCAGTGCAACTCACTCCTGTGAGATAGTTGTGAGACACTAGCAGTCCTTCGAGTCTTAAGGGCCGACGGGTAGTCCTCTCTAGAGAGAGAGCTAGCCTATCCCAGCACAGGCAGCAAAACAGCCAGGCAGGTAACCAACTGTCAACCAGGTCACCAACTGTCAGTCCTCAGCTCCAGAGATGTAAATTTCAATCTTGTGGTCTTAAAGGAACAACTTACAGCAACAACGTCCACAGGCTTGGCGTCCCACAGGTAGTGTAGCCTGTAAATTGAGGCACAGAACAAGCAAGGCAGCCGCACACTGATCCAATGATCAAAGAGTGAGAGACAAGAGAGGCTCACCGAGCCATTTATCTCTCGGCCCTTCAATTAATCCCACTTGTGTTTATAGGCCAGGCTGGCACAATAAACTAACTATCTCAGAGCCCAAGATACATTTATGGCATCTACATAGGAAATAAAGTCTCTGGTGAGTTCCCTTTGTCCATAATAGAGGGATGGGAGGGAAGTGGTTACTAAACAGAGAGCACTGGGGTGATTACTGTCGAAGATCAAAGGGATAAAGCTGAATTGAACGGTTCAAGCCTTGTCAGTTGATCCCCCTGTGATGCACTGGACCTACTCTGGTATTCAACATTTTCTGAATTTTGTTTTATGGTTGTTCACAATGGGGTTTATCTCAGATGTGTGGTCAGTGGGGTCATCCTCTTGAATTTTTGTTATGTTTTCCAGTATATGAAACCCAGGATTGCTGAGCCTATAGGGACATCAGTAGAATAAGGATTTCTGGGGGATACAGTGATGGTTGGGGTGGGAGTAAGATAAAAGGAGCTGGGGTCAAGGAGTTCAAGGGAAATATTTTGAAACTAATTGTGGCAGCAATTATACAATACCGCTGGATGTGATTAACTATGGAATGATATATCTCCATTAACTCCCAAAAAAACGGTTTCAAAAAAAACACCACAGCAGCAATATCATGAGTCCAGGCCCTAGAGATAGAATGCCTTGTTAAATTCCAACTCAACTACTTACCAGCAGTGTGAACTTGGGAAAAGTTGCTTACTTTTCTGTTTTGGTAGTCATAATTATACCTACTTCCTTAAGAGATCTTGACAAATAAATCATACTATACAAATGAATTATAAAAATATCAGAGATTGAAAGGGAAGCAGATTTTTCAAGGCTGAAATGTGCTTACTCTTCACTTTCTGCTTGCTAAATAACTCTTACGTAACCTCTAATGGGATGGCTTTGGAAATCCATTGTTGGTATGCAGCCCATTTGTTCACCACAAACATAAAAACCCTGCCTCTACAGAGAAAAATGAGCTGCCATCTGGGACCTGTTGCCATAACAAACTCCTTTGCTGTCACCCTGGTACTGCCCAACTCTTTTGTCTCAATGCACCCTCCCTGTCTGAAGGCCAATCCTGAGTTATAGCTCCATGTTCCTGGTAATTGTGTTTCTGTGGGTTGAAAGTCTCCGTCACTTCGTTGGGTGATTCTGGTCAGCTCTATCATGAGATTGCAGGTGTTGAGTGTGGCTGCATCACCTGAAGCGCTGGGCTTCAGTAGGGCTGGGAATCTGTTTTCTAGGTTTACTCACACGGCTGTACCGTGGTGCTTTACATCCTCACTTTGAGGAAGCCTCTCATCTTTCAGGACACTTCACCATTTATACGCACCAGCAAGACAGCATTGTCTTCTTTACATATCAAACGACATGCAGAGAGAGCACGCCAAGAATGAGACCACTGGCCTACACTACCCATTATTGTTTTATAACCTAACCTTGAAAGTGCTACCTCAACACTTCTGAATTAGGTTATTCAGTGGCCGAAAAGCCCTACACCCAATTCATACTCAAGGGGAGATAACACAGGGATGTACCCACAGGTTAAGAATACAGTCATGTTAGAAATACACATTTGTTTACTTAATATGAGTGCCACCATATTTACTCATGTATTTGTACTGCCCAGTAATGGTTATTAATCATCAAGAAATCACACGAAGTAGACCTGCAGAGGATTAAGACTACACTTTATCAAAAGGCTCATTTTAAAAGATTAATCAATTTCTTAAAAATTCCATTAACTGCCTATTTAGTTCATTCTGACTCCTAGTGAGCTTATGGGACACACACTTAGAATGTCTCCTGTGGGATACCAAGGCTTTAAATCATTGTAGCAGTAGATGGCCTCATCTTTCTCCCACAAAGCAGGTGGGTTTGAACCACTGACCTTGTGGATAGCAGAAAACCATGAAGTATTAACCATTAACCAAAAGATTAGTTTATGCCATTCTCTAGATTAGTTTAGCTCTTGGCTATATTACTTTCAGAATTCAAGAGATACTTTATGTATGTTAAAAGAGCTGTCCTTTCTAAACTAGATGATTAGAGAGTATATGAACAATCTCTGGTAATCAAGATGTAAAGAAATGGTGTGTAACCAGCAGAATGAGGTCTGCTGTCATGAGCACATTAGCTCTATGCCCAATTTCCTTAAATAGCTCAGAAAGTAGACCCTTGCCTATCCTGAATGAAAAAACTGCACACAGTTTAAAAAAATGCAAAATGATATTTATTTACATTAAAATGTGAATCACCTATGCACAAATTCAAGAGGTACAATCGCTACGCACAATAACTGATCTTCAGTACACATTAAACAGAGTAGTATCTGTTATGTCAGTGGTTGAAGTGAAAACACAGTACCGAAACAATCCTGATACCAAATTAGTCACTCACATTTTCTCATCATACAAGACAATATGTTTAAATGTATTTCAAAAAATGCTAGCTGTACACAAAAGTGTATTCTGTTTGCTTTGTGGAAAATGTCTTCAGATAGTTCTGCATAAATGATCCCCTTCAGGATGTGTTATTTTAAATAAATAAAGCACATTGATTTCAAGGCTATTTATGTATAATTCCTAAAATGATTGAAAACAGACATTCTTCTATCTTTTAAAGTATAGTAGAGAATATGTTAAACTATTGACCCCAAATTGCAACCGTGCCACTGCATATTTGTCAAATTATTTAAATTCCAATTTTAGTATGAGGTTAGCTATATTTCAAACTGTTTCCTTTACAACTATTGTCTTCATCATAAGGATTTGAGAAAGCATATTTTTTTTCCTAACCTTAGAATGTTTTGGATTAAAATTGGTAACACAAACAGATTGAGATAAACTGAGTACATTTCAACAAAGATCTTTACACATTCCTTTTGCAATTCTAAAATCTAATAAAGATTTGAATAAAGTCAAAGAGAACACGGGTTATTTTCATAATGCAGTGAAACATTCACCTTTGGCATCTCCATTATGTCTAAAATATTTCAATAAATTATACTATACTACCTACTACTGACATTCTGTACACGCAAGTATTTGATTGAAATTTGCTTCAACACCAAATCGTTGCCAAGAAATACTGTTTTTCATATTTCAAAACCACCAGCAGTTCTGACTGAGAAAGACTGGCTTTCTACTAGTGTAAACAGTTACAGTGGTGGAGACCCACAGGGCGCCACTGGGATCAGTACTGACTCCATGGCAGTGAGAGAGGAAATATTATTAACAGCATTTAGCTTTTCCTACAAAATACTACAATGTTTTCTCTTATTGGAATTTAATTATTTTTCATTGATTGAAAATTCAACCATCTTTTCAAATCCAACAATGGGTACAGGATAAATATTTTCCATTAACAAAGATGTTGATCACCAGGGTATAATTTTGAAGATATTAGTAGCAAGTTTCTAACACACACACAGACACACACACACACACACACACACACACACACACACACACACACGGCTTCAAAAGTTCGTGGAAGAAGTCCATTATCTTTTGAAAACATTTGTGTTTTAATCATTGATAATGGCAAAAGTTGGCTGGAGAATAGTTTTATTCTTGTCAATAATGAAACATCACAATTACTTTTTATAAATGAATTTACCAATACCACATGAATTGACTTACATTCAATTCAGTTGTTCTATGACAAAATATGGTATTTATCTAGACAAGTTGGTGGAAATTAAAGATGTCTAAAATGTCCAACTTTTCCAAAATGTACTTTTACCTCTCGATTGTCCCTGATGTTAACCACACCACTCTTCCCCTTCGTTTACCCCCCTCCATCCCTGGACTCAGCGAGTCACTGAGTAGTCTCAAGGTACTCATGAAATGTTAAAGAACCAGCTCACAGGGTTGTGAGCGCTGTTTGGTGCCAAATCTGAAGTTCATCTATCATCTGAAGTTCACCTATCTGTCTGGAGGCTCTCCTCATCTATAAAGCTGCAGAAGATGGTGGAATCAGCTCAAGTGATAGGTTACAATCAAATCCCCCAAACTGGAGGGCATGCCAAATTCAAAAGTAAAAAATGTCTGAAAAGCAGGTCTTCTTGCTTCTACCGATGCTCAGTGGGGAAGCTAAGCTCACAAAAGGGAGGACATTGCCATGGGTGTGGTTTCTGTCTTTTAACTAACTATCCATACCCTCCATTATCTTTTCATTCCATCTTCGACAAATATTTTGATGTTTACTTATATATCTTAACATGGACATCACAGAAGTAACACTGATTTATACACACACAACACACAAATATATATCCCTGCCCCCTAACCCCTCCCCCCACAGGGGTGGGGTGGGGGTGGGGAGACTGTTACAAATGCCGGCATTTCATTTGGTTTCCACAATGCTTCTAATTTTTTTTAAACTCTAATTACACACCAACTTCAAGGGTGAATAGTCCAAATAAGACTTTTTAAATTACAACAGGAAACAATGACAGGCCTTTTAAAACTGAGCACCTTGTCTCGATTCAAAAATAAGGGTGTAAGTTTCAGCACACGTGACCCAAGTACCACTATCATCCCAATGCCAGATTAAATCTGCATGGCCTATAACCAAAGAAACTAATACAAACAAACAAACAAATGCAGTAGCTCATCGCCAGGGTCTGTGCTCGTCTACTCCTGCAGCTCTGCAATCTGCATCCTGGAAATGCAAGCAGAGAATGACGCCCAGACTGCAGAATGAGAGAGTAAGTCTCATTCTGTTTCTACTATCCGCTATGGAAACATGTACAGAAACCTATAGCTCATTTAGAAAGATGGTGTGACATTTTCAGCAAATCTGAAAAATAAAGACTATTTAAGATGAAAACAACACCGGATTGTTAAATTTGTGAAACAATGTAGTTGACAGGAGATACGCAGGTGGATGTTATCTCCAGGACAATGCAACTAGCTGACATGAACACTCTTTCCAGGATAGGGCAGATTCAGAGTTGCACATGAGAACCAGGTAAAGAAATCACCAGTTCCTGCTAATATCATTTAGTAAGAACTGGAAATCTTGTAATTGGCATTATTTCATTTCTACAGAATCTAATTTTAAGATTTCCTTCGAGAATAATAAAAAAAAAAGCAGCCACTCACGCTCTTCAGAGTTTATGTCATTTTTTTCTATCATACGGGATGTGACCAAAACCATGGAAAGGCTAGGCTGCTCACATCTGATCCTAAACAAAATGCTATCTAAAATGTTCAAGTATCTAAATGTTGTCTTCTTGGTCACTCTGAAAGATAATCTTAGATGGAGGTGATCTGACAAAAGGGGAGAGGTCACAATAACCCAAATAATCACTAATCCCCCATATCATTCAGTTGAAGTTGGTTTTTTGTAAGTGCTTATTAGGGATTTCTAAAGCACTCACTTGGAGAGGCCATGAGCCGCCATCAATTCCTGCCTGGATAGCCACTCCTGTGACCACTGCTAGGTCAGGGTCCACAGATGTGTTGGGGTCCTTCCCAAAGAACTCCTGAATGACCTGTCGGATTCGAGGAATACGAGTAGAGCCCCCAACTAAAACGACTTCATCAATCTCAGTCTTTTCCAGGTGGCCGTCTTTTAATACCTGTTGAATGGGCACCAACATTTTCTGGAAGAGATCTTCATTAAGGGTATCAAAAAGCTTCCGAGAGATTTCTGTTTCAAACAACACCTGATTTTCTCCATTTTTCTTTGCAGAAAGACCAGCTGAAACCACATTGTCCTCATGGTGGCCACCTGCTGGGGAAAGGGTGTCCTTTGGCAATTCGATCTTACTACTTTGGGGTTCCTGCCTGCCCTTTTCCTCTACTGTAAGTAATGCTGATATCTGTGCCGACTGGTGAAGCGTGAGGTTTAATTTAACCATCTCCACAGCTTGTCTTAATCTGTGGATTTCCTCTTTCCTGGAGGGAAGGAAGCCGTACGTCTGATAGATCTGTTTATATAAGTACTGAAGCAACCTCTGATTGAAGTCCTGTCCTCCAAGTTTGTTGTTTCCTAAATTAGAAATAAACATTCATGTTAGACTTATGCATATGTATGTATCCACATGTCTGAGCAAGCAGATAAATATTGAGTGTTTGGGTAGTCATCAATTACTTCTTCTTACCTATATAAAACCTAATGTAAACAAACTGGCTTAAAATATGTAAATAAAATAAACTAAAAAAAGTCTAAATAAGTATCATTAAAACACACTCCTCACTTAGGTTAAAATCTTTTAAATGATGCAAATAAAAGTATCTTTTACCAAATGTTTTTCAGAAAATAAGAACACAATTGCCTTTTAAGCAGTAATTTTAAAACGCTAAAAGGCATTACTCTCAACAGAAGTTCTTCTCAATGTATTCTTCATGACACCAAGGCTATTCACATACCTGGCCTGTGGTCAGAGGGATTTTATTCACATGTATTTCTCTTTCACTTAAAATCCAACAAACAACCTGAAACAACTTTAAAATGGATCAAAAGGGAGCTCAAATGACTTTACATTTAAGCCTAACCATATCTGCCATAATTGGCTTGGCAATGCCCTCTCTCTGATAACAAGGCTATTCACATCCCCCGACTATGATCTGTGGGGATTCACCAGAGGCTTCAGAGATGTGGTGGCCGTGCAAATGGACTTTGGCTTCCACCCTCATTCATAGCCTTCTGCAAACCAGGTGTTCACAATTTAAGCTCTGATACCATTCCAGTTTTTGGATTTGGATTATACCACGTAGTTACAATCTTTGAATCACACAGGCTGGTTGCTCCTTCAGTGAGGGTTTAGTTGGTGCCTCACTCAGATGGCTGCTTGTTTGAAGACAAGCCTTTAAGACCTCAGACACAGCAAGTTTTTAAAAGCAAGCAAACCAACCAACAAACCAAACAATGCATCAAAAGGTGAAGCAGTTGAGGAGAAAACAAAGAGAAGACTTGTTTTATTCCAGATACAGCAGACCTAAACTTTATCCCCTACAAGAATGAAGAAAATGTTCTAAAGTCATTGTGGTGGTGATGATTGTACAAATCTTGATTGATTGAACTATTGAATTCTATATGTGAATTATATGTCATTGAATCTATTTAAAAATGATAACACTCATTTACCAATGATAATATTAGGATTTAGGGAGGCTAGGTACTGTTTGCCTAGTTAAAAGTTGCCAGTAAGGTCTGAATTCAGTGGGCAACTGGACATCCCCTTACAAAAGGATCAGGGGGAGGATATGGCCCAGTCAGGGTACAGTGTAGCAATGATGAAACACACAACTTTCTTCTAGTTCTTAAATGCTTTCTCTTCTCCCTTCCCCCCACTAGCATGATCCCAATTCTACCTTACAAACCAGCCTAGACCAGAGGATGTACACTGGTATGGATAGGAACTGGAAACACAGGGAATCCAGGACAGATAAACCCGTCAGGACCAGTGGTGAGAGTGGTGATGCCGGGAGGGTGGAGGGAAGGTCGGGTAGAAAGGGGGAACCGATTACAAGGATCTACATATAACCTCCTCTCTGGGGGATGGACAATAAAAAAGTGAGTGAAGGGAGACGTCGGGCAATGTAAGATATGACAAAATAATAATTTATAAATTATCAAGGGCCCATGAGGGAGGGGGGAGCGGGGAGGGAGGGGGAAAATGAGGACCTAATGCCGGGGGCTTAAGTGGAGAGGCAATATTTTGAGAATGAGGAGGGCAATGAATGTACAAATGCGCTTTACACAATTGATGTATGTATGGATTGTGGTAAGAGTTGTATGAGCCCCTAATAAAATGATTAAAAAAAAAAAAAGAAAGAAAACATCTGGCACAAAACTGAAAGAAAAAAAAAAGATATGACAAAATAATGGTGATTTATAAATTATCATGGGTTCATGAGGGATGGGGAGTGGGGAGGGTGGGGAAAAAATGAGGAGCTGATACCAGGGGCTCAAAGTAGAAGGCGGATGTTTTGAGAACAATGATGGTAACAAATGTGGAAATGTGCTGGACACAATGGATGTTATGTAGGGATTGTGAGAAGCGTTTTATGAGCCCCCAATAAAATGATTTCAAAAAAAAAAGGGGGGGGAAATTCTTCTCATTAAAATCAGAAGTAGGCATTTTAACATGTTGTCATTCTAGGTTGATAAGATAAACAACTGAAATGCAGAAAAATAACTTCAGAGTAAGGTAGTACAAAGAATCTGGTTCTTAAGAGAATCCAAGTAAGAAAATGATGTCGAAGTTAGACTTACTTATAATTCGTAACATGATTTTTCAAAAACACTTAATGTCTTATAAAGAAATACATTAAAACGATTTAGGAATGCAAACTTCCATAATTTCCTAAAAAGCTTATTAGATTTTCAAAAGATATTCATTTTCATTTTAAAATGAATTATTCCAACATATTACCAAATGAAATACATGGAGCATTTGACATGTTAAAGGGATTTCTGTGTTATTCTCTTTGCCGTTCACATGAATAGTTCTATTGGCTCTATTGCCACACCTGGCTGTCCATATATTTACTTTATAGAATTAAAAATTTATCTTTGAAACTTCACTTGTTAGCTGGTAAGACTCATGGCTATCAAGTTAATTCTGACTCCCAGTGACTCTATAGGGCCGAAGATAACTGACCCTATGGGTTTCTGAAGTTGTAAATATTTTGGAGCAGCAAGCCTGATAAGTGTGACCCGCCAATCTAGTGTTTTTTTAGGCTATAAATGAAATATATATATATTGGTATAACATTGTAAATATATGATATTACCAAGGAATACTGGGGGAAAATAAATGAATAATTACATCAGATATGCAAAAAAATGCACTCACTGCCTGAGCTCCAGACCTAAGCCATGTTAATTTTAATCACCTCATATGCCCATGAAAGTTGGACCCTCAATAAGGAAGACTGAAGAATGTATGCATCTGAATTGTGGTGCTGGAGAAGCAAACTGAAAATACTACGGACTGCCAAAAGGGAAAACAAGTCTGTCTTGGAAGGACAGACAGAATTCTTCTCGGAAGCCACTGGGGGTGAGACTTGTCACACATACTTTGGAGACACTGTCAGGTGAGAGCAGTCCCTGGAGAAGGCTATCAGGCTCGGTCAAGTAGAGGGACAGTGAAAAGAGGAAGGCCATCACGAGATGAAGTGACTCAGTGGCTGCAACGAGGGGCCCAAACCTAACAATGGTGAGAACACCACAGGGCCGGCCGGGCAGTGTCCCGTTCTGTTAACACAGGGCCACAGTGAGGGGGAGCGTACTCAAGAGCGCCTAGCAACTATGGTTTCCTTACCAGACATTGCTCGGGTTAGAAACATTCCTCCTTGTTTATTCAGCAACGACACGTCTAGTGTTCCTCCACCCAAATCTATTACCAAGACGTGAAAGACATCAGCCTTGTGCAGACCGTAGGCCATAGCCGCGGCTGTGGGTTCATTGATGACCCTCAAGATCTTCAGTCCTGTTGGAGGAAAGTGGAGAAGAGGATGCTATGAAGAAATTCCTCCCGACTCAACCACAGAGTCTGTTGGTGTCTGGTCTGACACACTAAGGAGTAATAAGGACAGGAACAAATCCAATGAAAATAACAAAAAGGCCAGGATAGATATAATTCTTCCAAATGATGCCATTAAAATTATTCTAGCAGAAGATTACAATATAAGTAAAGGCTTTGAGTCACTGGAACAAGTCATCCTCTTCTCTATTAATATTTAATTATTAAAAACCATAGTCCTCAAAGTAACATCCTTGCTTTTCAACAGATTTATCCAATGCAATATGTCATAATACTTTACAAACTAGAATTGCAGGAGCTCCCAATCCGTTAAATAGAATTAAATGTATACACAGAGAATTATAAACACACCAACCTAGGGGATGATTACCATGTTCTGTGAAAAAAGAAATCACAGCTAATACTATCATTAGCAATTTTCCACTGCAGACTCTTTGAACAGTATGATAGAATAGTATATGATCTATATAGTATGACATATCTAGTATAGTATATGATGATGACTATATAGAAAACTACAACATCCTATTACACGCTCAATGTTCAATAATAATCTATTTTCCCCAAAAATGGCTCCTCTTTGTATAGTGTTCTCTATAGATGCTTTCTAAAAGCCTGAGTTCTTGGAACACAATCTCCGTGTTAAACTAACTGCCACACTCCATGAGTTTTCTGGAAAGTAATATAGAATTATGTATTCAGAGCCGTATGTACTATTCAGACTCTTAGGAATTTATCCAAAGACCGTAATTACACAGCACTATGACTTCACTACGCCCTCTGCTTCAAGCACACTGGCCTGTCCTAGTTTCTACCAGCACGTTCTCATTTTATGGCTGACATAGTTCTTGCATGTGTCCACACGGCTAGCTCCCTCACTGACTTAAGATCTACTTATATGTCATTCTTTCAAATAGTCAAGACCTCACCACCCTCCCGTTACCACAAGCAATCCTGCCCCTTCATCCTAATCTTTTTTTTTCAGACAGCACATTGCTTTCTGTGAGCACCGCACACTGGTTCTGTTTGCTGCCTAGATGGTATTTTCCAGTGTATGACACCACTTGTGGGGAAGGTGTTCCCACAGAGGCCAGGAATGCTGCTAAAGAGTCTATAATATAAAAAGCAGTCCCTCACCACACAAATTATCCAGCCAAAATGTCCATAATACCAAGGGCAAGAAATCCTGCAACAAACTTGTCTTCTACTTTTATTTCCTGATTTCCACAGGTAGAACATTTACATATTTGTTAAAACATATTATGTGAACTTTCCCCACTTCATATTAAAAAACAAGCAATCTATATTCCTATTAAAAGTAAAAAAAAGAAAAGTTTGGAAAATTCCTAATTGCTAACAAAAGCCCATGAAGCTCACTGACAACCTCTGTCCTTATGCCTGGTTAATATCTTTAATAATCGTTGTCATGCTACATAGCTGTTGTACTGTGGTCCAGCAATGTCAAAACAATCATCGGTAAATACATAATCAAAATCCATCTCATTTATCTGCCATACAGTTTATCTATGTACCTAGATTTAGGTGAATTTCAATGTTACATTAAAAAAATGTTTTTCACTGCCATCGAGTCAACGCTGACTCATCGTGACACCTTGTGGTAGAAAGCCCAGCCTTTCTCAAGTGGAGCTGGAGCTGCTGGTGGTTTTGAACTGCCAATCATGTGGATCACAGACCAATGCATAACCACTACACCATAGAGGGCTACCTAACGACAAACATTTTAACCCAATAATATTTTTGAAAACAACATACCACAGGAAAGAGTGACATTACCTGCAAGGTTAGCAGCTTCAACTGTTGAATTTCTCTGCTGCAGATCAAATTCTGCTGGTACAGAAATGACAGCATTGGCAACTGGCATGCCTAGATATTCCTCTGCCATTTCCTTTAACTTCAACAATAACCGAGACCCGACATACTCAGGGGAGACGGTGATCGTCTCATTACTTGTCACAGAAAACTCAACCATTCCATTTTTATTTAAAACCTGTGAACAAAATTACCAGAACAAAAGGATAAAAGTATACTTATACACTATACACACTTAAGTACATACACATATATACATACATACTTATACACATACATCCATACATAATGGACTTAAAATAATGGACATAAAATTTACGCTTATCTTTCCAAACTAAAATCCACTCCCAATGAGTTGATTCTGACTAGTAATCCTATACAGTGTTTCCAAGACTAGTACACGTTTGGCTGCTAGTCATTCTTCAGAGAGCTCTGGTGGTGTGGTGGTTACACGCTGGGCTGCTAACTGCAAAGTCAGCAGTTCGAAACCACCAAGCACTCCAAGGGGCAAAGTTGGGGCTTTCTACTCCTGGAAAGAGCTACAGTCTCAGAAACACAAAGTCCAGTTCTACCCTGTCCTAAAATAGTCACTGTGAGTTGGCACCAACTTGATGGCAGTTAGTTTGGTTTGGTCCATTTTCCGCATAACCATATATGTGTTATTTGTATTAAGCATGATTTGTTTTTCTAATTTAGGATTTATATTCAAAAAGGGTTTTTGGGGCCTAACTGCTCAATGTTCTTTTATTTGGACATAGTTATGTTAAAGATTGTTAGTTAAAGCTTTATATTTCATAAGTCAAACCATAATTGAAACTGAATAGAGATCTATTGCTCAACTTGCACTTTTTCCAAAAATCAACACATTAATATTAAGTCAATTCCAACTCATAGTAACCTTTTTGGCCAGAGTAGAGCAGCCCCTTTGGGTTTCCCAGTATGAGAATAGAAGGCCTCACCTTTCTCCTACAGAGTGGCTGGTGGTTTGGGAATACTCGTCTTGAAGGTAGCAGCCCTATAAGCAACCCCCTAGGCCAAGAGAATGTAGTAATATCAAGTAGGTACTCAGCACATAGTTAATGATCAAAATCGCTTCTTGACTGATTGACACTGAGTTTAAGTCAATTTTCTTAGACATTACCTAGAAATAAAAAGGCCTTTTATTATATAGTTTAATCAAGCTCATTATAACTAACCAGGTAACAGATTAGGGATTGTGGTGCTTACACTTATTATTTTAAAAATATGTCAAATTTGGTTTTCACAGAGCATTAATGATTCCATAGGGATGCAGTCAAGTAATAAAGGCCCCTCCGTCAGTAGTGCATTACAATGCTGACTCTGTGCTTGTGGTTAGGATCCCGTTTTGGAGGGAGTTTTCTGTTACAGGATTAACCAAACTCAATGCACGGAATTGATGCAGACTCATAGCAACCTTACATGACATATCAGAACTTCCCCTATAGCTTTCTAAATCTGTAAACCTTTATGGGAGTAGAAAGCCTCATCTTTCTCCCTTGAAGCTGCTGGTGGTTTTGAACTGCTGACCTGCGGCTATCAGCCCAATCCATTACCCACTAGGCGACCAGGGCTCCAAGTGTGGAGAGAGTTCAAAAACAGTCACAGCAAAAAATTTATTTTTCAGTTCCATTTTTTTATGAACTCTTTGAAGTCTGCTTATATATACCTAAGGAAAATTTGTGGGATAGTGGGTTAGGCGTTAGGATGCCAACCACAGGCTCAGCAGTTTGAATCTTCTAGCCGTTCTGCAGGGGCAAAATTAGGCTATGTGCTCCTATAAGATGTACAGTCTCAGAAACCCACAGGGAGCACTCAGTCCTAGAAGGTAGATATGAGTCAGACTGAAATAATGGCAGCGGGTTTAGTTTGGGCTTTTCATTTATGTATGGATGGAACCAAACTGTCATCAGGTTGATCTCAACTCACAGAGACTGGGCAGAACAGAAGAACACTGCCCACAGAGTTTTCCAAGGCTGCACATCCTGATGGATGTGAAGTGGCTGGCAAGTTCCAACTGCTAAGGTTCAGTTAGCAGTGAACTGATGACCCACTGTGTAACAGGGCTTCCTGGGCCTCCTGCTGCCATTTTTAAAATGGTAAGTTGGCAGGCATGCTAAGGATGACATCACAAGAAGACAGTAAGGCCTTAAGTCCTCAAGAGCTTTGTGGAACCACTTATTTAACTCACCCTGGGAGAGAGGGATTTCTTATTATATGTAACATATGTCTACGTAAATTTAGTCAGTTGAAGCAGAATATTTTATAAGCCATTTTCTGAGAAATATTATTCTGGACTAAAATTAAGATGTATTTTAGATTAGTCCACTTACCTTAAATGGGTATCTGCCAACTTCCGCCTCTAGCTCTTCTGGGGTGAAAATCTTGCCTATGAATCTTTTGGCGTCATATATTGTGTTCTGAGGGTTTGAATCTGCCAGCTCTAAGCTTTCATAGCCCACATATACATCGTTGTCAGTAAAGGATACCATACTGGGTATGCTGTTATGCCCATTTTTATCTGAAATGACCTTCACTTTTCCTGTACCAGGAAAAAACACTCCAACAGAACAGTAAGTTGTACCAAGGTCAATGCCAATCACCTTTGGAGTTGGCAAGGGCAAATACTGTTGTGCCAAATAGCCAGCCAACAAGAGAGTCAAAACAGCTGAGCCTGAAATATAGGCAAACGAGAAGATACATTTCACTGAACTAATACAATATGTTAAACTACTATAACAAAATCCTTTTAGTACTCTTTGAAAAAGACTAAAAGCACATTCTCAAAGATCTTGTATAGGACTAATGTCAACACTTCTCTCACAAATCACTTTTTTTAAATAGGTAACAGTTATGATGCAATTAAAATGACAATAAAAACAACAGAAACGTTTGTAAATGTAAATTTACTTATATATAAGTAATGCAGCTCACATATATGTAAAACACATCTTGTAACTGTATGGATGAATTAGTTTATATTTAGGTTTTATAGTGTTATAAATAACAGCGCTATTAAAAAGAAATGATTGACCTCCATGAATAACTGCCTTCTGTGCCATGAGATTGGAAGAAGTACATGGTGCCAGTCTACCACATCAGAGATTCCACAAAAGAATTCTGATGAAAGTTGAAGAACACAGAATTTCAAAACCTCATGGAATCCAGACTTTCTGGGGCCAAAGAGGTGGATGATCCCTAGAATTATAACCATAAGACGCTCTTTAAACCTTAAAATAAAAGTATCCCCTAACGTGTTCTTAGACAATGAAAACCAATAACCAAACTCACCGCCATCCAGTCAATTCTGACTGATAGTGACTCTAGAGAATAGATAGAACTGCCCAAGACAGTGACTCCTAAACATTTTAATTTATTTATTTATTTTGACTGTGACTCTCTACGGGAGTAGAAAGGCTCATCTTTCTCCAGTGGAGAAGCTGGTAGTTCCTACTTGCTGAGCTGGTCGCCAAGCAGCCCAACGTGCTTTAGCTTAACTAATAAAGGCTGCCCGGGTGGTACTCTTTTAAAGAACTATCTGCATGGGATCAAAATACCACCACCACCACACTCAAAATATTAGATAAGTACTTAGCAGGCAGTGAGTTGAACAGAGGAGGAACTCAGAAGGGTATGATGAAACTCCACAGCAAATATTACCTGGTGCTACTTATGTGACATGAGCAGACGTATGGGCAATAAAGTTTATTTTTAGTGGTTACCCCAGGTAGGAAAGAAGGAAAAAAGGGAAGACATTCCTCAGGGTACAGGGACTTACTCTCAATTGTAGGGTAATATTAGCACAAAATTATGACCATAATCAGTGTTGCTGATTGTTATTTGCGAAAATTACTGTATTGGCAAATGTTTTGTTATATATGTTACCATAGTTTTTAAAAGAAACCCATGAACAGTTCCATAGCTGTAATTTTCTAAGGTTAAAAAAACCACAAAACATTATCCCTTTATCTCCATTTCATTCAAAAGTGTAAGATGGATATAATGAGGTAAATACATATGAAAGTTGCTTTAAGTGTTACTTCAAAAGAGAACCCAGTCAACAACGGTTTATGTATTTAAATAAGAATTACCTAAATGCATTAGAGAGACCTTCTAGCAGCAGGCACCTAAGGGAGTCATTCTGAGGGCAACAGTATGGAAGGCAAGCTTCCTCCAGGCAGACTTTGTTGTCTGTGGGGTCCCCTGCCCAGAAACTGTCGCTAACATGTATCAACAAGTATCACTGATGTTTTGGGGTGCTCATCAGTCAATTCCTACTGCTGAGTAGGTTTTCTTAGTTGTAACTTTAACAGAAACAGATCTCCCTTTTTTCTTCAGTACTATGCAGATTGTAAACACAAAGTGATGAAAGAGACCACCTTTACCTTTCTTATTAATATCTTATTTGGTTTGAGGGACCTGTGTCTAACCTTGTTACATAGAATTCAAAGAAACGCCGAGCGCCTATCCCACTTTCCTATTTGTCCTGTGGGTAAAAAGGCCCCTAAGCGCTTTGGTGTTAAAAGCATCCGCTGTATTTCATGGGTACCATTAATCTATGGAGTCTAAGTGCTGCCGCTCCTCTCTCTGCCCCACAAATGGGTCCTAGAGCTGCAGCCTCCCATGACCCCATAAAACCAATTCAAAACCGAAGTTCCATGACCCCATAAAACCAATTCAAAACCGAAGTTCTCGGCGAGGACATTCGCTTTCGAAGCCCCGAGGTCCCCAGGATAGACGCCGCTAGTTGCGCCCGGCCCACCTAATTATGGGGGCCTACCGGGACCCTGGCTTTCCGAGAAGCTCCCCTTTCTTGAACAGCCGAAATGTACCTCGAAAGCACGTTTCTGGCACCCCCTCTGCTGTATCAGGTGAATGTAGGGCAAACGGAAATCACTGCCGCCCACCCAGAAGGTCCCAGACCGTCCCAGTGGCCGCCATGGCTACAGGGACCCCCGAGTTACCAACCTAAGATGGTCATCTCTCCGGCCATTACAGTCCCACCGAAGCATCTGGGGATGACTGTACCAGACGGGCGGCTCCACCCCCACGCCTCCCGGCAACCCCGCGTCCTCCTGGGAAATGTTGTCCATTTACTCTGAAGCAGTCCAAGAAGAGACGGCTCAGAATGGAAGACGGACTTCAACGACCGTCAGGCCGTGCGGCAGAAGCGTCCTTCCGACATCAGCTGGTGACGACCGAGCGGTGTTGCCATCCCGCGGACCAATGGCCCTTCCAGTCAAGCTACGTGAAGGACGGCAAAGGCGAGGGATTGGATAACCAAATCACAATGGTCGGGAGCCAACCCGAGGTTTAAAAAAAAAAAATAATGAAACGACTCCGCCCTGCCGCTGAGCATTCTGGGAAATGTAGTTCTATCCTGCTCCCATTCGTGGAAAATGGTCCGACGGAGGTTAAGGATCTTTAAGCTGTTCGTTTTTCGATGGCGTCCCCAACCAGACGCAGGATTCAAGACATCCTTTTTAAAGCATTTTCCTTTGGTATTTCAATTCTAGATGATTGCTTTAAAGAGACCCTGAGCCTCCCTAGAAGAACTTGGCTTCCTGCCGCACTGCGGTGGAGAAAGGTGGTCAAGCCTCTGATGAAGAAGCCTTCTCCCACCGCACCGGGAGCCACTCTGAAGCCTACTACGGTCCTCAGACCTCTGCTTTTGTTTGCGGATAAATAAATCCAACTTTTTTTTAATGGATCAGAGACTATTTTAATCCATGCTGCTATAATGCACATATCACATGTGGGTGCGGTTTTTTTTTAGTTGATTTATTTGTTTATTTATTTGTGATATTTTATTGAGGCTGCAAGAGAGTAAGGTCGTTTTTCTCTGCTAAACACACGAATAAAATACCTAGCCTTTTCTTTTTAAGTTGAATTAAGTAAAGAGTGACTAAGGGCTGACTTGACGGTCAAGTTCTATAACAAATAATGGTGTTTGGGGATGCATGAAGTTTTGAGGATTCAAAAGGTTTACACAATGAGCTGCTTGCTAGCCAGGAGACTGGAGGTTATAGTCCTCTTAAAGGAGCAGCAGATGTAATGTCTGACAATACTTCAAAAGAAAAGAAAAAAAAATCAGAAATTGAGGACCCAAAGGAGCACAGTTCTATTTTGACATGGATCATCATGGATTATAATTGGTATATGTAGTGGTTTTCAAACTCGTTTGTAACAACCCTGACTTCTCACTTCTTGCTCACTAGTGATACTTAATTGCTCCTGCTCAGAATGGATTAGTTGCTATTGCCGCCAAGTTCAAAACTATGATCCTAGAGAACTGAGAGCTACATCACATTAGCTATAAATCAAAATATCACAGTTGACCACAAACCTGTTGGGAAGAAGCCTACACTGGTTTTCTAACTGGTTCTAAAATACATGTGCAAATAGTGATGACTATTGAAAATAATGTAAAGTTAATAGGGACTCGTTTTAATATTCTCTACTGTGTATTTAAAAAGCTTGTGTAATGAAAAGTATTAAAATGGGTGTATGTGTATAATGAATACTATTTAGTAAAATTGTTTTGTGAGAAACATATAATTCAAGCACTCGAATATTAGGTAAAACTATTTTAATGAATATGAAGCAGTTGCTACGTACCAAGTAGAGAGGTAGGCACTGGTACCACCACTTGCCTGTGGGCTGCACACTGTGATGGGCTGTGTGTTGCTGTGATGCGGGGATCCTTCTTACTGGTATTTCAAATGTCAGCAAGGTCACCCAAAGTGAACAGGATTCGTTGGAACTTCCAGGCTAAGACTAGAAAATAAAGAAGGAATCGGCTGCCCACTTTGGAGGAAGTAGCCGCTGACCTTATGCATGACTTCAAAACTTTGTCAGATATTGAAGGCCTACGCAATGGAAGCAGCCACTGAGATAATGCAGAGGATGGGTACTCGAAATGTGACTGAGGAGGATCTACTTTCTCAGAGTGCAGTCGACAATGTTAACTTGAGTGGGGTAAAGACTGCAGGACTGGACCCTTCGGGATCTCCATTTGCCGATGGGGCACAACTCAAGGTAATGAGAATCAGATGCAAAAATCTGCTAATAATCTAAACGTGTAATGTAAGGAAGTCTGACTCTAGGAAAAATGGAAGTCATCAGAAATGAAATGAAATGCACAAAGATTGATGTCCTAGGCTTTTGAGTTAGTTAATTGTGCCAACTTGGCCGGTAAACACATGTGGGGCTAATTGAAAGGCGGAGGGATAAATGGGTGGTGAGCCTCACCTTTCTAGTTCTGGGGTCTCTTGCTTTGTGATGGTCGCACCAGGGTGCAGCTGCCTTAGCAGTTCCCTGCTTCAGCTTGCAAGATTGACTTCCTACAAGACATCCCCAAGGAGAAGCCACATGGACCTATCCCGATGCAGCCCTGGGTGCTGGAGCAGCCGTGTGGAGACCCCTGCTAGTGCTGAGATGCTTATTCGTTCACTGACTCAGCTTTCCTCCTGCAGTCGGCATCATTGCCTCTGTTTTGTGAGGTGGAGGACTTTGTGGACTGGTGTTGGGATAATGGGTTAATGTTGAACTTGTGTGCTTGGGCAGCATTGGGTTGGGATGTTTTCGAGATGCACACTTTCTTTACATAAAACTCTCTTATCCATGAGTTGCTGTGAATTTGTTTCTCTAAATTACCTAGACTAATACAGCTTTAGTGAGCTGAAATGGACTGGTATTGGCCATTTTGTATCAGAAAATCATATGCTTTACTATGCTGGGAATGACCCAATCAAGATGAATCATGTTGCTCTCATTGTTACAAGGACACCACAAAATATCTATCCACTTTTAAGGAATTCCAATCTATACAACTGGTTTTCAAATTTATGCACCAACTACAAAAGCTAGTGATGAAGAAAGTAAAGAATTCTACCAATGTCTTCAGTCAAAAACCGATCAGGCATGCAATCAAGATGCATTAATAATTGGTCATTGGAATGCAAAAGTTGGAAAGAATGAGGGAGGAACAATAGTTGGATAAATGTGGAATATAGAAATGAAGCTGGAGGCTGCATGATAGAATTTTGCAAACCAACAACTTTGTGTTAGGCTGGGCTGACTGGAGAAACAAATCCAGACACTCATGTGTATGAGAGAGATTTATATAACTACCATGGACTTGTTCTTAGCAAATACATTTTTCAACAGCACAAAGGTGACTATACACATATACTTCTCCAGGTGGAATACACAGAAATTGAAGAGTCTACATCGTGGGAAGAAAGAATGGAGAAACTCAAAATCAGCAGCTAAAAGGAGGCCAAGGAGCCAACTGTGGAACAGACCATCAATTGCTCATATGTAAGTTCATGTTTTAAGAAAATTCAAACAAGTCTAAAAGAGCCCAAATACAACCGTGAGTATATCCTCCTCAAATTTGAAAACATCTCAAGAACAGATTTGATGCCTTAGACACGAATGACAGATGACCTGAGGAGCTGTGGGATGATGTCAAGAACATAGTCCACAACTGTGTGAGCTCTGTCTTGATAGAAATCTCTTTCTGTATGCACACACATACAAGTGTCTTTGGGTTAGCTGCGCTAGGGAACCAGGCTACCACTTTCTTTGTTAAAGTCCCAGGTCTTGCTGCCTTATTCAACAGAAGCAAAGCGAAGGGCAATTAAAATACCTAAAATAATTACATGTGTTTATTGCCTAATATTAGGTAATGATGACAGAAAATTGTAGAATACACTTTTTTAAACCATAAAGATAATCCAACAAACGTGCTTTCTTGATGTGATTCTATAGCATAGTAAATAAAACCTTTTAGTACTTTTGTTATAAAATAGAAAAAAGTTACCAATTGACATGAGTTAATTATAGAGTCACTAGATAGATAGATAGATAGATAGATAGATAGATAGATAGATAGATAGATAGACGATAGATAGATAGATCTAGATTTAGATCTATGTCTATAGATAGATAGAGAGAGAGAACTTTAGTTTGCACACTTAAATTTCAGAACAAAATACACAAAATGAAACCTCACAGATCTCACAGACACATAACATCTAACCACATTCTAAAATATGGAGGGAACGGGGCTTGAGGGCTTTAGATCTTACACGCAGGAGCAGGACAAGGGGAAACCACTAGCTCTCAGCAAGTGGAGCCAGGTGGGATAATAAGGCCACTTAAGGCTGTTGTGGGAGTCACAGGAACACTATACAGAGGGCACAAGTTTGAGAGTAGAGATGACTAATCTACTTCTTCCATGCGAGATTTGTCCTTGTCACCCTCAAGGGGGAGGATCTCACCATTGGGTTGATCGATTGTCACCTCATTTTCCTTAAAGCCTGAAGTTCGGCTTGACCAGGCATAGATGCGGTTGGAGTAGGACTGGGGGTCCTTGAGGGAGAAGCCAGAGGAGAGCAAGGCACCTCCAAGCAGCAGTACCACCTGGTCCTGGATGGCTCTGTTGTCTTGTCAGCCTCAGTGTCTCCATAATGCAGTGAGGCGGGTTGATGTCCAGGTACTTTTTGGCCATCATGTAACCTATTATGGAGTTGTCTTGAAGACCCGGGCTTTCATGATCCGCTCCATGTTGGCCAGCTAGCTGCATGTACAAGTCACAGTGCAACAGACTGAAGGCACAAGTCTATTGGTGATTGTCACTTTCTCAACCTTCTTATCCAACATTTCGTTCTTGAACTTGCAGAGGTTCTTGAACTTGGCCTTGCTCTCTTCCATTTCTTCTTCTTGCCCTCCTCCTCCGGTAGCTCGAGGCCGTCTTTCATCAATGAGACCAGACTTGTCCCATCAAACTCCTTGAGCTGCTGCACACAATTCTTGTTGATAGGCTCAAGACAGCCTTCTGGGTCTCCTTCATGCATGAGATGTATTCTGAGAGAGAAATCATCTTGTCTCCAGACAAGAAAGTGTGGTAGTGCAGCAGCTCAGGCAGGTGCCATTGCTTGGTAGAATCTTCTTGGATGTTAAGCTTCGGGGTTTGGGAGAAGGCCTTATAAAATTTCCAAGAGTTCTCCTTGTCT